TATAAGAGACTTAAAAACTAGATGCTATTGGAAGAGAAAGATTGATATTTATTTATTTATTTATTTATTTGTCTTTTGAGACAGGGTCTCACTATGTAGTTGAGACTGACCTGGAACTCACTATGGAGCACAGGCTGGTCTCGAACTCACAGCGATCCTCCTGCCTCAGTCTCCCAAGTGCTGGGATTACAGGAGTGGGCCACCATGCCCGACTGGAGAAAGATTGATTTTAAATTCCAGTTCTGTTGTTACGAATTGGATAATGCGAACCTGTTTAAATTCAGTAATATTTTCTTCCCTCACTTTTAAGGCAGAAAAATTGAAGACCATTACTGAACTTTAGGATAACAGCTTATGTATGAACCATTAACCAGCACAATGTTTAGAACATAGCACTAAAATTTAGGTCTCACTAAAATTTAGGTCGCACTAAAATTTAGGTTTCTCCCCTCCCTGAAGAGAAGATAAGACATTATGGTAGGCATTTTGATTTGAATTCCAAGAAAACAGGAGACTAAAATATACACTATTTTGTCTTTGGTTGGGTGAAGTGGTAGAATATTTCGTTGTATTTCATTCTCTCAGTTTAGTAAGCTATGCTCTCTGTACACCAGTCATTAGCTAGTTACTGAGGCCAAGGATGGTGAAAAATCAAAATTCTTTTTCCTGGTGGAAAACACAGTTTATTGATGAAGACATAGGATAAGTAAAGAAGTAGTTAGTATTTAGTGTGAGATCTACCACAGTAGATTTTGGTTTACAGGTAGCCAGTAACTGCATGTTTATTGTTTAGATTTCAGACACCAGGGCTCATGGTTATTTTCAGTATCACCAGAAGTGCCCCAATGGCTGGTGACCAAGAGGCTTCACAGCAAATCATTTACCACAAAGACCTTAATCTTCTACTAGATTTTGCCTTTAGATTAATATATTTAGAAATTCTGAGTCCTACCTTAGGTAAGGTTTGAGAGTTTGTTTATTTGGACAATGAAAAAAAAAACCCTGTTAAAAGCATTTATCAGGCCAGCTAGCCACTCACAGTAGTTGGGACAGCACATTTTCTGCCTGTAGCTAATCATCATGGAAAGCCAGAGTACAGATTATCAGATTTCTCAAATCCCATTGCATCCAGACAAGTCAGTTCCCTTACATGATGCAGATTTGTTGCCTTATCAGTCTTCAGTGGTCTTGCAGGGATGCTCACTCCTGGTAGACTACATAGTAGGCAGTAGGCCCTCCTCTTGACCGTATGTGGTAAGTCCAAGGCTTCCTCTGAGAATTCTCCTGTGGTTTCTTCCTTTGCACCACTCCTCTGCTTTGCTTCTGTGCACAGCAGCTCCTTTCTCACTGATGCATTCTTCCCTTAAGTTGGCTAATACCAGCTAAATAAGTTAACCAAATATATCCACCTGCTTTCTTTGGAGATTACTACTTAATGCCCTTTCTCTTTGCTAATTATGTTTTGGTTTCTTTTCAGGTACATGTCCACCTTATATTCTCACCCTGATTTTCCTGAGAAAGGCCCAGCAGAAATTAATGAAGAGCTAATGAAGAATGTTAGCTACAACCCCCTTCTGCTTCTTACACCACAGAAAGTTAAAAGATACGTTGAGTCTTTGTGGAAGAAGAAAAGCTCTGGCCAACCTGTTACCTTTACTGATGTCTTTGGGATGTTAATCGGAGAAACACTAATTCACAATGTAAGCCATACTTTAATCTACACTCCCTTAAATCCAAGTACACAATGCACACCATAATATTTTAAATGAAAGAAAATGCAGTACATTTTATGTTGTCACACAGCTCAGTTTATTTTTTCAACGAAGTGTAGTGAACATATTTTCCCTGCTCAATATTATAACTCCTCCATGTTTCAAACTTGTGCTTATGAATTCATTCCCATGATTATCAGTTTTGATGTGTAAAGAAATGCTTTTGTGTTCCTTTTCTTGGAAAAGTAATATTTTTTCCTGCCAATTGCACACAAAAATGATAATCTCTTTCGATGAGGAAGTGAATGCAAATGACATTTTAAAATTAGAAGAATGAAATTTGCCTGGAAAGCATCAGAAAAGGAAGTGAATTACAGGAAGCAAACTCACTTGATGCATAACCACAGGATGACATTTCTTTTAAAGATACAGCAGAGGAGATAGAGAAAAGCCCATGGCAGGGAGTCCAGGGTGCTCATATTTTCCAGGATCCAAAGTTGCCAAGTCATTCTCCAGTCCAACTGTAGAGTTATGATTGCTTGCAGAGTGCAGAGAACTATTTCCATGGAGCTTTCTTTTTGTTGTTGACTGCAGAGCCAGAGATTTTTAAAGATGATAAGACATTTTTATTTCAAAATTTTAAGTGTTTTGATTGAAGTTCTGTTTTGAATAGGTTTTATCCGTATCTGTTTTTATATTTAAAGCCATCTCATTCTTTGTTCTGTGGACAGAGAATGAACACTACCTTGAGTAGTTTGAAGGAAAAAGTCAACGCTGCGCGGTGCCCCTTACCTCTTTTCACCTGCCTCCATGTCAAACCCGATGTGTCCGAACTGATGTTTGCAGGTAAATTTGTCCTCTCTCAAGGCATCTCCTGGGGCCTGAGAAGTGTTTCCAGTGTTTTTCTTTAGAAGTTCATAAGGGACTTCAGTTGCTTATTTTAATACATTTACTATATAACATAAGAACATTTGAAAACAAGAAAATATTAAGCTAAGTGGTTTTCTTGTTATAGAGATATTTCATTAATTTAGTAAGTAATATCTCTTCCCTTAAGTTATTGGGAAAAAAATGAATCTAGTCGTTAACTCAGGTTAGTTATCCATTTCGCAATGACCATTGACAACAGAGTATGCCTATGCTTTTAAGACCAGGCATAGTCTTTTACTTACTGGTTATATTTTCATTACTTGGTATTTCCTATTTAAGTACTATTCTTATTTTTATAATCCAGCAATTAAGAAGCAGTAGTTTATACTTGTGGATGATGGAGAAAATGTCTCAATTTTGTTAAATATGAGAAAACACCGGCTTCTATAGTTTCAGATCTTGGGGGCTCTAAAGGTACATAACATTACACTTCTGAAGAGCCTCTGCCACATAAAGTACAGAATTTTTGAAAAATGAGGAACATAAGAATCTAAGAGATTAAATGTCCCATCTGAGGTAATTCAGCTTAGAAAGTAAGGCTGCCAAACTAGAATGTCATTTTCTGTTGACCATATCATAATTGCTTGTGTGTCAAAGATGATTTATTTAGCCATACAGAGATCTGACTAGCATGCTAATTCTACTTAGCAAATGAATAAGAGAAAACCTCATGGATCTTGAAATTATTTGGGTTTCAGATTATCGTGTAAGAGGTTTTGAACATATTTTAATTTCAGAAAGAAAAAAATGGGGAAAAAAGAAGGCAGTGTGTTTTGTGTTGGGCAGTGGGTATTTGTATTAGTTGGCTTTCCCATGATTTAGACACAATATCTAACACCTACAGCTTAAAGAAGGAGAGGTTTAATTTGTCTTCTGAGGATTCAGTCCATGGTTTGCTGATACTCTTTTTGAACATGTTAAGACTAAGGTCATTTTTAGACATGGTCATGCCTTGGGAATCCATGAAATATAATAGTGGCTACTGTTTATCAAGTGATTAAAACATGTCATGCCCTTGATTATGCTCCTTACATTTTTTTTTCTGGTACTGGGGATTGAACTTGGAAACTTGCACTTGCGAGGCAGGCAGCAGAACCACTGAGCTAAATCCCCAGCCCTTGCTCGTTGAATTTCTTAGCTCAGTGAATCCTCAAATCAACCATACAAACAACCTAGTGAGTTTGTTCACATTTTACATTAGAGAACTAAGATACAGAGCATAGTAAGTAAGCACAATAAATGGGCAGTGTAATGGGCTTTGAACCCAGATTGTCTGGCTATGGAGCTTTTACTTTAAGATATTGTATTTTATTGTCCCAATTACCATGTATTTCTAAGACATGAGCATAAAAAAATTAGGCTGTGATTTTGAGAGTTAGAATAAATGCTTAGTAGGCAAAATTAAATGAAGATAAAATATTAGAAAACATTTTTTCCTATTTTTATAGTCTTCTTGCATTGTTGGAAAGAGTAATTTCTTTTGGGGGCGTGTACCGGGGTCCTTGCACTTGCAAAGCAGGTGGTGGAACTACTGAGCTAAATCGCCAGTCCAGAAAGAGTGATTTCTACTGTCTCCTTCATAGAGTTCATAAGTGAGACAGTAGCTTTCAATTTTACAGTGTTTAGAATTGAGGTAGACTGTATCTGATCTAAAGACGTCTGAGTCTTTAAATTGAAAACGTTACTTGTTTGTGCAAATTAGAAGTGATCATTTTGCGTGGTCTCATCGCATTCATCCGTAAACTTCTTTTCCCAGCCTTTACACATGTCACAGACATAAGCGTTTGGTTAATTTTTTATTTTAACAAGCAACTAATGAGAATAATCATGATGTTGTGAAAGTATTTATTAACTGTGACTTCCATTTAACACTTTCCAATGTCTTTTTAAAAATGCTTTCAGATTGGGTTGAATTTAGCCCTTATGAGATTGGCATGGCTAAGTATGGTACTTTTATGGCTCCTGACTTATTCGGAAGCAAATTTTTCATGGGAACAGTTGTGAAGAAATATGAAGAAAACCCCTTGCATTTCTTAATGGGTATGTGATTGAAATCTATTACTAGCTCGTTTGACTATTTTAAGTCTCGGTAATGTTTAAGTTATTTTCTTTCTCCGTTTCATTTCAGGTGTCTGGGGCAGTGCCTTTTCTATATTGTTCAACAGAGTCTTAGGAGTTTCTAGCTCACAGAATAAAGGTTCCACAATGGAGGAAGAATTAGGTAGGTAAAGTGATGCTTTCATTGATAGGAAATCATGCTACATCGATACGTTCCACACATATACATACAGAAAACAATAACTAATCATAAGAATTTTAATTATGTTAATTTACCAGTAATTTGGTTGCATAAACCTAAGTCCTAAATATGTAAGTTTTTTCTTAAATAATTTTCTAATTTGAATTTGGGCAATCATAAAGATCATTCATTTTTAAAAATAATTTGTACCAGAGCATTGCCATTCTTTTTTCTCATTATGCTTCTAAACATTCTTTCTTTTGGTCAGAGTATTTCTCATTTAAAAAAAAATGGTAGCTTTTTAGAGATGAGATTCATTAGTAGTTGAGCATAATATGCTACATAGAGATAAATTCATTCTTGTTATGGTTTATCTCTTAGCTACTAACTTAATAGAGTTCTGATGGTATGTTCTGAGAGACTCTTTCAACACTAAAGAAAGATAAGCATTTTATTTTACTTTTCTTCCAGCCTAGATTGTTTTTAGTGGGTACTTATGGTAGCATTCTTGAGCTTGCTCACATACATGTAGCCAGCTAGAGCCAAGGGTGGCTCCTTGCAAAGCTGAGGTACAAGTTGGGGAAGGCAGTAGGGGTAGGTGCCCCTTCTGTCTTCTGAGGCCTGCAACTGAGTTCTTGTCAGTGCTAGGCTCCCTGGCATGACTGGGGATGTTATCATGGAAGCATTTCACGGGGTACATCTGGCTGCCCACTCTTGGTTCAGCTCTATCCATTCCAACTCCAAATTCAATTCTTGGATCAATACAAGACCTTTTAAACCAAGATTTCTTCTTGCAGGAACTCGAACTTAGACACATAAGGAAGTGGGAGGCAGGGGCAAGAAGAGGGACCCCAGCAAGCAGACAGGAATGTCTCCATCCCCATAATAAAGAACCCTTAGGCAGGTACCTTGGGCCTGGAAGAAACCATGCAAGCAGGTCCTGCCCCTCTAGGAACCAAAAACAGGTGACAGAGGTGAATTCCATGTCATCCTACTCAGCTTCTGGCAGTCTCTAGGTAATGATCTTAGGAAATAAGTTTACATTCATAATCAGAGGATAATTTGGAGAATTTACACTACTCAGCCCACCCTATAAGGAGCAGCAAAAGTGAGATTACATGACACAGAATGGAAATGATTTGGAGAATTCCTAATCGCTTCACCATTGCTTTTACCATTCCTACCTTTCAGTTTCTGGAAGAAGAGTAGAGGAATCAGTCTCTCCAAAGGCCTGTTACAGACCCTATGGCTTGCAAAGTTCCCAGAGGTGGGGTGGCTAAGGTGTGACTGCTGCTTTTGCATAATCCAGCCAGGGTCAACTGTGAGGAGAAGCACAGTCCCTGGATGCTATTCTCACTCAGAGGATGAGATGTACAGTGAGCCTTGGACTGCCCAGCCTCACAAATACCTGGAATGGTGGGTAGCTTGAGCATAAGGGTCAAAATCCAGTCTCTGCTGTAGCTCAGGAATGAGTTGAGACCCACTGAATTGTTAATGAGGTCAAAGAAAAGTTCAAAGGATTCTGAAGGGAGGAGCTCTAGGTGAGAGTCAAAGAGGGGAATGCTTTTCACTGGCATGGTGCCCAGATCTCTCAGCCCAAGGGAGTCAGGGAAGGGAGCAGAGGTGCCCCAGCGGGGTTCTACTGGCTGCAATCTAGCCTATCTTTGGCTGGGTGTGTGAGCCCCTAGGATACAGGAGAGAGATTTACTCAGGGTGGAGGAATTGGGCATCATTTCCTTAATGCAGGTCTTGAGAGGTCCTTCCTCTTCCTGAGGGTAGCCGAGCTGTGGGGCAGGTTCCAAGGACTCTGCCAGGATAGGGAGCTCTGTGGCTTGTCAAGGTGTGCTGGGGCACTCGAAAAAGACAAGCTTGGGCTCATCCACAGACAGGCAGCAGGTACTGTTTCCTTACAGACTAGCTTATCTCCCTTCTCCCCTTTCATTTAATCATAATCGTTTCTGAGACACGCCAAGCTGGGAACTGAGCTCATTGTAGGACTTCTTGGGTCTTCAGGTGGGAGAGCAGGATGAAATCTCCCACGGGTGAGGTGACTCTTCTTTGAAAGATGGGCACAAAGAGGACCACTCTTCCAAGGGAAGGCTGTCCACCTTGATGGGTCGGTCTCACTAAGGGTGGCATGTCCTCCCCAGGCTGGGTTTCCTCCCCCTTTATAGACTGATCTGGAAGCAAAGGCAGTAACCCTTCTCCAAGCAGGGTTTCCTCCCTTCTCTTCCTGTCTGGCTGTAGGAAGATAGGCCCTCATCAGCTACCTGCAATTTAAGGACAATGTGGATTCACTTGCTGTGGCAGGCTAACTTTGAACTCAGGAGCAAAGCAGCCAGAGGCAATGGCACCTTCACTGTAGGGTACAACACCAGGGACTGATTCACTGGAAACTGGATGGGGACCAGGTTCCAGCTGAACTATGGTAGCATCTTCTACCACGAGCTCAGTGGGAGTTCAGTTTTGATGGTCACATTCAGTGGAGCTCAGCACTGGGATATTTCTGCTCTTTAAACAACTGTTCCAAAGTCAAGAATGTATTTGCATTGAGGTGAACGGTTCCAAAGAGGTGTTAGCTTTGGCAGATGTATCCCAAACAAACATGTCACAGAGAGAAAGTTGTGGTGAATGGAATTCTTCCAGCCTAGGTTAGAAATGCGCTTGCTTAAAAGAGGGCAATGAGCCTCAATCCAAGTAGAGATGTCCCTCAGGGTCATGCAGTTCCTCTCAATGCTGTCAATGGCGGCTATATCATGGCCATGTAAGAGTAAGGTGGCCTCTCAGACACAGAATCCTGCTGTCGATGCTCCCAAGGGCTTCTCAACCTTACCCCGATTCTGCTCCAGGTGACAATTTTCCTTCTCCTCTGCTTCATACTTGATGCTGCTGGAGCCCAGTCCATCAGAACTCATCTTTCCAAGTCACTGGATATTAAGCTGCTGTTTAGAGTGCAGCCTGCTGCTGTCTCTGCCCTGGAGGGGCTCCAGGTGGCCTAGGAACATTCATAGCCCTAGCTGCAGGGTTTACCCCTTACCTCTCAGTGAATGCTTTTGTTTTCTGGGAATCGTTACTGATTAGGGCTTTAGGTAGGGTCCTGGAGAGTAAATGGGGCTCCCCAACAGTTCGTAATGAATTTATTGGGTCCACTGCTGCCTCTCTCTGTTCCCTTGGTGGTCAATGCCATGATAATGCTGTGGATATCGGCATTGTTAGGGATAGCCAACACTTGTGTGTTGGGCACGGTGGGGTGGTTAATAATCTTGATCCCAGCTGGAAACTTTCAAAAGCTGGATGATGCTACCTCTTTGGAGGCCTGTGCTTGACAAGGCTCCTGTTGGATAAGGTAACCCAGTAGTCTCCTCCTCTGATGTTTCACCTGAAGCATTTTGAGCAGAAAGAGGTGGTCTCTCTCTGTCTTTTGCGAATCAGTGGCGGATGGGGTTTGGTTTTAATTATGGATCCGTGTTTTCATTCATTGAGAATGGACACAGCATTGACCCTCAGACTGCAATGCTGCCATCCGGTCACGGCCCCCAAAGGTGGTGTGGGACGATGCAGCCCATAGGCAGGGGTCAGAAGAAAAAAGCATTTGAAATGCCTCTATAGGTAGTAAGCTGAAACTAACAGTTTTCTTTAAATCTTTAAGCCTAATCTGGGACAAATCATTATCCCTTAATAAAGTAGAAATATATTACAAAACTTGAAAAAGTATACAAGGTCAATAAAAGATGAGTGGTTTCCATTTATTATAAGAATAATAACATAGAAACACATTTTCTTGAAATGAATAAATTTGACTTACACCAAACAAAGAAAAATGTATATTCCTTATTGCTCCCAAAGACTTGCAGTGTGTATGTAATCAATGCTAGTGCTTTGTTATAGCTATTTTGACTGATAGTAGGAAGAAGCCATGGAATTCTCAATCAATTTAGGGCCAGACCAGCAGAGATCAGGCACTTAGGTCCCATGGATCACCAGCCCTACTACCTATGATCTCTTCTTTACCCATGAAATATCACAGGTCTACCTGAGAACAGATAAACTGACAGAATAACGGTAGAGACATTTTCAGCGAGAGACTCATTGAAGAACACGTTCACATAAAAAGCTTATAGGATTTTTTTAAACACAGTGTCCTCTATTATCACAGGCAATAGCTGTTGACGTGGTTAAGCTTCATATGCAGAAGGTAATATAATTGTAGCACACTACGAGGATGATTACAAGTGGTTTTCTCTCTCATTCTTCAAGAGTTAGTTTTAGTTACCTGGTAATTTATTGGATATTTATGTTCAGTGCAGTTAAATATTCTTTAATATTTTCATTTGTACTGTTGGATAGCTTTTAGTAGGGAATGGAAAATGATGCTATAATTTCATTAGAGGCAAATATTTTTAAATAACAACAAAACCGATGCACAGAAAAGGCACTTTGTGCTTGTATTTGCTCCTGTTCTGAGCACTCAGGTAGGCGGCAATCTTGCACTTGCTGTTACCTTTGATACAGAGCTACGCTCTCTTGGTGGCTAAACTGCAAAGCAGATATATAAAGATGCAATGGTCTTGGTTGATTTATTTTAAGAGATTTTATATCCCCAATGAATGTCCTATTCTCAAATGTAATTTTGTGGCTGTCACTCAGTCTTCCATAAATTGTGTGAAGATTTTAGAAACATAGTGAAAGATCAGAAAGACCATGTGTTGGGAGGTTTGCTTCCTGTACTACTTCTCTACTGAATAATCCAGATAACTCAGGTTTATTTTGTTATTTAATTTTCGTCTGAGGCAGGAAGAGAACCGGACTGAAATAACATATCAGAAGGTGGGCGAGACAGTGGCTAAAGGCCAAGGGAAAGGAAGATGTTTGTATTGAATACCTCTGAGAAGACTCTTTATTGAGAAGTCCCCTTTGAGGCCGGTGGTCTGGCAGTCTGCTTACTTTTCTGTGTCAGACTGAGGGGGAATGTTGTGGACTTAAATCCGGTCAGCAGGATACATGTTACCTCCGATTATGTAAGGGTTTCCAGAAACGAAACCGGAGGAGTGAATCTAGATGTGTTCATCCTTTGGCTGACTGAGTTCTACATCTTAAGTGGGGCTAAGTTTTGTTTTTCCTTCTGAAGAGAGATTTTAAGGCAAATTGGACTGCAACTGAGTAACTTTAAGTGAAATTATTCCTTTCTCAAAGAGTTTGGCAAGTAAGCAAATTATACTTTTGAAAAGATGGGACTGTATATTACACTATAGAAATACAAAGTAAAAGTTCAGAATATTTACCTATTCATGTCACGAATACTTCCTTTTAGAGAAGACAGTATTTTGGTGAAGGATTTTCTTAAATCAGAGTATTGAAAATGAGCAAAACAGACAAATAAAATAGAATAGCAACAACTACAAAAGGAAATGTTTGAAGAAAGAAAAGAAAATACAGGTAACATCAGAAACACATTTTTGGAGTGGCACATTCCTTAGTTCCTCCTCTTCTCTGTACAACAAAATTACTTTCTCAAATAGTCAAAAACTTAAAAAAAATAAGCTTGTAAATATTTTATTTTACTGAATTTTATATTTTTAAATATGCCAGTAAATAGTAAATATAATATTTCAATAATTTATTAATATTTGTCATTACTTAATCATTCATGAATATGTAATTTACATCAGTATAACAAATGGGCACAGTAGTGTGAAGAAATCAGTTGTCAGACCTATATTTGTCTGAGATTAAGCCTCCAGAACAGTTGTCAGTAAACTTTGTGAATTTGGAGTTAAGTTCTTAAAATTACAAAAAAAAAAAAAAAACCCCACACATTCTATTTATTAATACAAGAGAGGAAGAAAAAGCCACTACTGATAGTGGTTTTATATGAGTCCAAAAAATCTGTTTTTTTTGTACAAATGATGATAATGACAATGATCCGTAAACTCCATAATTTAAGTATATTTTACTTAGAAAAAGACAACTAGGTGTGCTAAATTTTGCTTCTATCTTCATGTTAAAGGTTTGTATTTGTTATTTTAGCTTATACAACTGGTCTCTTAGGTCTGAAGGAAGTACAAATTTTTGACAATAAAATGTGCATTGCATGTCAACACATGATTTTCAATACTATTAAAACTAAAAATATAACTTTTATTAGCTGCTTTTATTTATTTCCTAAACACTAAACTGTAGACCTTCTACCATATGTTTTAGTTTTATCCTATATTTACCTTCATAAACACTACTTAAAGATATATCAAAGTTAAGACAAATAAAAATTACCCTTTAAAATTAATAATGAATAAATTGAAACTAATTTAATTTTCATGCCCTGAGAAATTTTGGACTCTACTGAAAAATTTGAAAACACTAATAAATCTAGATTTATTAAATTGATCTGAATTTCATAGATCTAGTAACACTTGTGGTGAGTTTTTCTTAGATTACTGTATAATGACTTTAGTTATGAATTTTGACCCTTGAGATACCGTCAATCTTTTTTTTTTTTACAGAAAATCTTACAGCAAAGCATATTGTGAGTAATGATAGCTCGGATAGTGATGATGAGTCACAAGAACCCAAAGGTAAGACAGCTCGGAATTTTCCCAGTGGGGGCCCAGCAGAAGAGGCTGTGGACTGTGTGTGACTTTCTTGTTCCATCAGAAGCTGGTGGTCATCTGAGCGCTGAGGCAACTGAGCTGCAGCTTTTTTATTAAAAGGACTGAGTATTGCACCTATTACAAAATAGACGGCAGATACATTCCTTTTCTTTGTAATATCTCACAAACGAACACATCTGAAATGGCAGGAATACTGAACTCTGTTTTAAACCTGATTAGGGAACCAGTGCTTCTCAACATCCGTATTGTGATTTGGGCACACTAGTAGATGGCTTTAAAAATGAAGATCTTATCTTTAAAATTTTATGAAGCAACATTAGGAAAATTGTATTGTAGTTTCTTTTTGAGTCTTAAACTGTGGCTAACACCTGATGTCTTAGGAAGAAATAGTGATGAAATGGGTAAAATTAACAAAAACTTGCTGCACATTGGCTTGGTAGTGTCTCTGAGTCTTCATACACTTTGCCAAGACACTTTTCAGTTTGGTGTAGCTCTTAATAGTTAACAGTGGGTTTGGAGCAGCAATAAGGTGAAGATCAGAGATATTTATTTTCATGTAGTATTTTCTTGTCATAAGGTAAAATGAGATTTTACACATTGGCACAATTTTTGACTAGCCATTTATAAAAATGTTCTCAATAGTGAAATATAAGTAAAGAATCGCTTCTTGGCCTATTGGCTAAGAACATGTGCAGTAAAATATAATTAAACAAAAACAAATTTACAAAAAAAAAAAACCAAATAGAAGATTTTATAATGTGTGGATGAAACTGTCATATTATACTTTGAAAATCACCTTCTAGATTTTAGCAGATATTAAATACTTTCTTGTCTCAAACTTGATGAATTCTCCCAGGCATGATGTGAATATAAGATCAGTATGTTTTGTCTTTGCCTGATTATCACTTGAATTGAAATTCTCTTCTCATAGCTGAGTTTCACTTTCTCCTGAGTTTGTGCAAGTTAGAGAAAGGTGGCTTCTCTATAGAATGCCAGTGCACAGGACCACAGCGACTGGTGTGTAACGGCTTCTAGACACTAAAAAGAAAATTCTTTTGGGTGAAAGACAAAGCTTTTTTTCAGGCACAAGAGTCAGTAGTACACTAGGTTTCAGTACTGTTTCCCAGTTGCCCTGCTAATTTATGCATCCAGTGATTTGCCTAAGCAAATACAGCTGTCCTGGTTAGTAGGCAAGAACCCCTAAAGAATCTTGTTCCTTCATTTTTAAAATTTAAAATTTACATTTTTGTTGTTGTTCAAAGCTTTATTTTTGAATTTCCTTTTAAGGAAGGAAACTACCTAGAGCAAAAGGAATAGACATCATGTGCCTACCGTTTTGAGAGTTATGTATTAATTTAGGGACTACCAGTAGACAAATCATCACCATAGATAAGCAGTACTTTTTTTAGTAAGTAAATTACTATAGATAGGTAGTACTTTGATCAATGCTACAGTGCTAGCTGATTGTTAAGGCTGAGAAGTTCAAAAACTTTGAATGTGGCTGCTCTGGGTTTAGTACTCTTCTAGATTAGAGCATGATATTTAGGATTTCGGTGGGTGCTGATTTTTAAAAATTTTTATGTTTTTTGCTGTGGTAGTGATTAAACCCAAGGCTTTGTGCATGTTAGGCAAACACTCTACCACTGAGCCGTACCCCAGTGGCTGGGAGGATTTTGAACTTTCTTGTTTGCTCTGTGTATTCCTTTTCTTTTTTCAAATAGTTATTTAATGAAGTCTTAGCTTCAAAGCAAAACTGAGCAGAAAGAACAGAGCTGATATATATTTTCTGCTCCTGTTCCCTTAAGATGACCCTACCTCCATTATAAACATTTTTCACTGGAATGGTATTTATGTTACAACTGATGAACCTACATTGACAGATCATTATTATTCAAAATCCATAGCTTCCATTAGGGTTAGCTCAAATGTTATACCTTATAAATGTTTCAATACTTTGATATACTTTGACATATATCTACCATTATGGTATCACACAGAGTTCTCCATGTATTACTTTCCTCTCTGCTAACTGCTGGAAAGCACTGATCATTTTATTGTCCATAGTTTGCCTTTCACAGGTAACATAGTTGGAATCATACAGTGCATGGCCTTTTTCAGATTGGCTTCTTTTGCCCTCTGATACACATTTAAGGTTTCTCTGTCTTCTCATGACTCAATAACTCATTTCTTTTTAGTGTTGACTAATCTTTTTTGTGTAGCTGTATTGAAGCTTGTTTATCCATTCACCTACTGAAGGATGTCTTGGTTACTTCCAAGTTCTGGAACTTAATGAATAAAGCCACTATTGACATCTGTGTTCAGTTTTCTGTGTGGACACAAGTTTTCAATTCATGGAGTGAATACCAGGGTGGAGGTATAATAGCTAGATCATAGAGTAATTTTAGCGTTGTTAGAAGCTGCCCACTGTCTTCCACTATGGTTGTACCATTTTGCATTTTCACCAGCAATGAATGATGAGTTCTTGTGGCTCAGTATCCTTGCCAACATTTGGTGCTTTTGGTGTTTTGAATTTTGTCCATTTTCGTAGGCAAGCAGTAGAATTCCACTGTATTAATTTCCATTTTTCTGATAACATATGATGTGTACCATATTTACATATGCTTATTAGCCACTTGCATATCTTCTTTGGGGAGATGTCTGTTTAGCTTGCTAGTCCATTTTTTTATTGGGTTGTTTTCATATCATTGAGTTTTAACAGTCATTTGTATATTGTAGATAATAGATCTTTACTAGATGTGTCTGTTTTTGCAAATAACTTCTCCCAGACTGTGTTTTGTCTTTTTATTCTCTGGAGACTCCATTTTTAATCATATGATTTTGAGCAAGGTCTTTAACCATTTCCAACTTCAGATCCTTTAAACCTGTACTGCAACCATTTACTTGCTTTTGCAGTGCTGCTGCGATCATCCAAGTTATAAATGTGCACAAAGAGGCTTTACGTTGTAAAGAGCTAAACACGTAAAAATTGACTATTAGTATTACATTGAATAAATAATAAATGTCATATGTTGTTTTGGAGGTTTGTCTTGAAAGTGATTACAAAGAAGATAGATCCTCTGCTGGTACAGAGTAGGATTTATTTAAGAATAAGAAAAATATGAATCCCCAAAGCTTTGGAAATAATTTGAGTCTCTTATTCATATCCTGTGCTACTGGTGATATAAATCAATCATTTTAAAACCTAATTTGTTCTAGTGAAAGGTTTTCTTTGTCATATTTGGCAACAGAAAAGTGTGGGAGTAGAAAACAGTCTTTGTTTTTAGTGATTATGTAGTCATCTGGATTAGTTACCCAAAGAAAGCTCCGTACTTTTACTCAGCTCACTTAAACTAATCTTTGTGAGAATAAAAGTCAGTATAGTATTTATTGTGACTTTATGTGTGTGTAGTAAACTGTGTACATTAATTGGAAATCATAAAGTTTGAAAGGCAGATTCTGTCTTCTCTCAAAACAGTTTTTATGTCAATGTATATATTTATACACAGAGTTCCTAAAATTAGAACAGAACGGGTTTAGGCAAAGACAACTATACTCTATCATGAATTGTTCTTTGACTTTAATTATGAATGGATTATATCAGTGATGATGATTATACTGCAGCAGCTGCTATGATTGTTTTTGTTACTAGCTATCATTACTGGGAAGGAACTTATGGACCACTTACATCTTTAGAGCTTTATATATATGCACAGATTCTGTTAAACTTCACCATAGCCCTTTGACATTTATTGAGGAGGAAATGGCAGAGGAGAAGGGGTAGGAAACTAGTAAGTAATGGGCAGGGGATTTGAACCTTGGCAATCTCATTCTGCAGCCAGTGCTCTAAATGACTACAAAGAATAGATTCCCAGCAGTAGTGATGAATCTCAGAAAGTCATTTAAAACTGCTTCCTTTGGACTATGGCTGAGTTTTAAAAAACATTTTAGGGGATTTGTTTAAATTACAGGGTTATAGATCTTCAAACTTTATAAACAAGGATGAAGTGACAGGTCATACGATTGAGTTTTAAGGTCATTTTTTGGACAAATGTATGTTGAATGAATCCTTTATCAGTCTGTCCTCATTTTGCAGAATTCCTGGATGCTTGCCATACAAGATAAGGACTCTATGAAAAATTTAAGAAATGTAGAGGAAAGACTACTGGGTACTATGGGTTCTCTCTTTTCCTGTCGGATGTGTGTGTGTGTGTGTGTGTGTGTGTGTGTGTGTGTGTGTGTGTTTGATAAAGCCAGAGTAAAGGAAGAGAAGGGCCAAGGAAAAAGAAAAAGGGAAAAATGGAAAAGTTTACCTGTGAATCTAACAGTAGCTTAAGTGGAACTGTCAGTCATATAACCTTTACACCATGTGTAGATAAAAACATAGCCAAGAGCACTTAAAATTTTTTTTCAGTATTGGGGATTAAACTTCTTTCGACTGTTCTCCCTGAGCTACATCCCTAGCCCTTAATTATTATTATTATTATTTTTTGAGGCAGGATGTCACTAAGTCACTAAATTGCCTAGGCTGGGCTCAAACTTATGATCCTCCTGCCGGAGTCCTGGAATTATAGGACTACACCACCACACATGGCCGCTAGTAGTTGATAAGAATATTTTAAGAACAAAAGTGATTATTTATTATATTATTTATACAGATTAACATGTTTAGTTAAAAAAAAACACAAAGTTTTATTGTTGATTTTAACATCCAGTTAACCACAGAAGCTTGCTTAAGTGCATTTTGGAGCGTTTCTAATGATCTTTCCTTTTTCCTTAGGCACTGAAAATGAAGACGCTGAAAGGGAATATCAAAATGATAATCAAGCAAGTTGGGTGCAACGTATGATAATGGCCTTGGTGAGTGATTCGACTTTATTCAATACGAGAGAAGGACGCGCTGGCAAGGTGCACAACTTCATGTTGGGCTTGAATCTCAATACATCCTATCCACTGTCTCCTCTGAGAGACTTTGCCTCCCTGGATTTCTCCGATGACGACGAACCGGATGCGGCTGTGGCGGGTAAGCACACAAAACGTAATCAGCGCAAGCTCGGTCTGGCCATTTTTATTCTTTCTCTGGAGGAAAAGCGTTTTGATTACTATTAACATTTATTTTTCCTCAAGTACAAGAACATACATTTAATATGTGAGGGCCTTTAAACTACTTTTAATCTTTAAGAACAAAATGGCATTGGACAGGAAACTGTCCAATTTAGGTCAGTATAGAAAATATTGAATACTGAGAGACCTTAGATCCTTTTTGTCCCAGTTTTATTATACGTGCTGCCAAAACGAGCACGTTTTTTTCTTGGTCAAGTCCACTCCTAGAAAATAGAGAAACCTCTACTTTCACAACTACACGGGGTTTGAAGTTGGGAATTAGGTGCCAACAAAATTGTTCCAAGGATTAGAGCAGTAAATTCCAAGCTGAGCTTGCCAGAATGACTTTAAAAATACTTAACGAGTCACTCTCGCAAAGCCCCCACAAATGCACTTGGCAGTGGAAAGAGCCCAGAAAGCTGCTGTCTCATTTCCTCCCAGGCCCAGGCGCCCTCAGCCCAGCTGGAGTAAGAGGGAGTCTGGTGACCCTTGCTCTTGGCCTAGCGCCCTCTCCTGGTGCAGGAATGCACGCAACGCGGCTTGCAGGGCCCCTGGGCAGGGGATCTGTCTCTAGCTCTCAGGAAGTTCTGGAAATTTTCTTAAGGCCATCTGGTAAAAACCCAGTTTTAGGTTTTTCATTAAGCCAAATCCTCAGGAATAATCCCCTTTATCTTTTAACTTCCACGCGAGTTATGGATTAAGAGTTAATTTGCCCTGGTGGATAATTGATGTATATAATAATCTTTCCTGTGATGGCCCTGTCATCTTAAATTTTTCTGCTTCATCTTAGCATCGTCTTTGGCTCAGTTATCCAAATATCACTTTTCTACCTTTTCTGGCTTAAGGATATTCACAGGATGCTCTTTACTTAAACGAGATATTAAAAAACAAATTTTTTACTGCCCTTCATGTTATACCTAGAAAGTTAAGATACAGCTTTACATTTGGTTGTTCTGATAGTGTCATTTTACTGATTGTTTGACTTTAAGGAGTATTACAAAAGCAAAAGTAGTCTTTGCTGTTTGAAAAAAAGTGACTACAAATGTATGCTACTTTGCATTCTGTTTGTTTGAAATAGGTTCTCACTGCGTATTACAGGCTGGCCTTAAATTTGTAATCTTCCTGCTTCAGCCTACTGAGTGCTGGGATATAGGCCTGTGCCACCATACCTGACTTATACTTTGCATTATGTTTATGGCATTTAAACTCTAGAACACGGAATATATCTTATATACCCTTAATTCAAACCCTTTTATATTAACCAAGATAAAAGTATATTTTTGAGAAAATGAATATGTATTTTAAAATTCATCTAAACTAAAAAGCACTTAGCCAGCCCTTCATCAGTGACATTATTTTTCTGGTCTCATGGCATGGGTTGGGTGTCGTGATATTATAGTAACAGTTAAATGTGTTTCCTCTATTGATGCATGAAACATTGTATACCAAAGCTTTTCTAACGTGAAAGAATCTTCAGTTATTTGACTCAATAGAAGAGGAAGAGCAAAGAAAACAATTCCATCATCTTTGTCTAAAATTGCTCAGCAGATCTGAAATTGAGACACAGGTCTCTTGGCCTAGCTCCTAATCCTTTCTCCTTTGCTACTCACCATCCCCTGGGGTTTTATTAGTCATTGTCTTGCTGATGTAAGACTGGAAGTTTTCCTCCTGGATACTTTACTGCCTCTGTTTGGTGTTTTTACTCTGGCAGCAGAATAGAGTTTTTCTGTGGTCTGCACAGCACGCACGCATTCTACACCCCACAGCTTCCTTGAAGCTTTGTGTTGATTTGTTGCACTAGATTGCCAGATAAAATATAGAATTCCCAGTTAAATCCTAATTTTAAATAAGACGTACATGAATAATGCATATAATCTTTGCAACATTTGGTACATGCTTACATTAAGCAATTATTTGTCGCTCGTCTGAAATGCAGATTAAAGTAGGCATCGAGTATTTTATCAGCCAAATTTATCAACCTTAGGAAGTGTGCCTCTTTGTCTTTCTCACTTGCTTTCAAATTCTTTTGCATTTTCACCTTTATTTTTCTCCTTCCTGCATTCTTTCATTCATATAGTGTTTGCAAGCACTTACTAACAATGTCTTGATCTTTGGGATCCACTACTGAACAAGGCAGATAATAATTCTTGCCATTATAAAGATTAAAAGCATCTGATGGCTCATTGTCAAAGTTTTGATGTAAGGAAAGGCTTACACAGTCTGGTTAACAATAACAGAAGAGCAAAACTAAAACCCAAGAGCCCTGGTCTTGACAGAGGTCTAAGTTGGGGAGAAAAAAAACAATTTTAATGGAGAATATGGCTGCAAACTAAGAACGAAAGTTAAATGCGGGTGTTTTTTCTCTCTGTATGGTTGGGAGATTAATAGTTGCAGATCACCTTGTTTGACTCCTTTCATTTGATATCCTTTGAAATAAGAGTTATGAACAATTTTCATGAAATAACATGAGGAAATGTATACAGTATCAATCATCCCAAAACAGGGGATTTCTAATTTCTTTTTAGAGATGTTTTAAAATGTTCTAGCCTAAAATTGTTTTAAATTAATGATATTTGGGGGAATTTATTTTTATTTTTCAGTGTATGTATATCATTAAAATTACATTTTACTCATTTTGTATTTTTTCAATACAAAATGTAATACACGGGGTACTAGTTGCATAAAAAATCCAGTTCATTCAGTGATAAATTCACTCAACATTATATACACAACAGTGGTAAAAACAATTATACTTTAGACTGAGTTTACTAAAATAGTGAATACTCTTTAAATACTAAGATATGTCTTATTTATCTCCCACTAATTGTTTTACAGTTTTAGAATAATTTTGTTTGATGTGAAAGTTAAAAAGTTTACCACAAACTATAATCATTTTGGTTCAAAAAGTCTTCATTCGACTTTCTGTCATGCAAGGAAAATGCCACAATTAAAACATGAATTAAAGCTATTTCTCTTAGAATTTTATACACATTTCATGCAAAGAAATGGGTAGAGATTTTTATCTAATCTAGATATTATATTGTAAACATATTTTAGTCTACTCCATGGCAACTTCATGGATACAAGTTAAAATTTGTGTATCTGAAAACAGTCTTTCAACAGAAATGAAAAAAGTGTACTGTTTTGTGCCAATGACTTCACCCTGCAGATTGTCTTTTGAAAACAAGGTAAATTATAAAATGATAAAATTCCAGTCATTAGTTTACTAAAAACTAAATACCTACAGGACTAATTTTAGGAAGCTGTTCATTAGTTACATGACTTCTTTCCTGTTTACTTTTGTGTTTGTATTATTTACTGTGACATATTCCATCTGGTATAAGGAATCAAGACATGAGTTAATTTAGGCCTGAATTCAAAACACAGATATCCAAATATTTGTACATTGTACATGGAATCTGTGTGATATATTTATAAAATGATCATCACAAATATACACAGTTGAACTGCTCTAAGGGAATGTTACATAACTATAAAGCTTGTTTCTGTACCTATCAAAGAACATTATCAACTTACAGGTTTGGAAATTTTGTATGATTTAAATGATGGTAGAATATTCTTCCATAATGTCATTTATTTAATTTTCTATGAGATTTTAAGAGACGTCCTACAATTAACTGCATGCACGTTAAAATACATTTAGCAAAAAAGCCTCTCCACTCTGTCTTCCCCTCCTCAAAGCAATGGGATATTAAATTGATACAGACACTACTTAAAATGTCTCAGGTGTAGCACGGGAAAAACAGACTGTCTTATATTTGAATCCCAGGTAGGCCTTTTATTTTGTGCCTCAATTTACTTATAAAACAGCAATGAAAATGGTACCCACCAATGAGTAAGTGTGGGGATTCGGTGGCGTATCCACACAAAAGGCTACTAGTCCCAGGGACAGGAAGGAGCACAGGGAGCACACGGTGTGATTGGCTGTTACTTTAATTTGTTGAAGTTTGTCTTCCTCGAACCAGTTTAGGCATGGGATTCTTATTTTATATGTGAGACATCCGTTAATACTTTGCAAAATGATGCTTTTTGCACTACAATTTGGAAACACTAACTATAAAGCGAGAGAATAGTGGCCAGCCACGTGCCAGAGTTGGGAATTAATCTACAGAATGATTTTTTTTTTCCTCAGTTGCAGTCTTGGATTTAAGACTGTTTGATGAGAAGGAGCAACTCAAAAAGCACAATGGGAAAATGATTTCCTTTGGTTAAACTTTTTGCTGAAATTAAAATAAAAAAACACAGCTGGGTGTAGTGGTGCATGTCTGTAGTCCCAGCACTAAGGAAGCTGAGTCAGGAGGATCACCATCAGTTTGAGGCCATCCTGGTCTACATAGTGAGTTCAAGGCCAGTTTGAACTAATAATGAGACCCTGTCTCAAAAAGCTAACAAATAAAAAAATAAGAACACTTAGTTAGTTTGCAAAGCCAAAGAAAAACATTTATGAATTGTTGTTTTAATTAGGGAAAATTACTGTGTTTAAAAACACTTATAATTTATTTGGTTAGTTATAGTAAAATGCTGGGTGGTTTTACTAGAAATATGTGCAGCTAGCCTGTATACATTGTAGTTACTATTTTTGGAGATTTCAATTTTAATTTATCTCAGTCCTTTGGCCATGACATTTTCTAAAGTGCAGTAGTTCCTCATTTTCAATGGTCTCAATTTCTCTGGGTCAACAGTGGCCCAAAAATTTAAATGTAAAATTCCCAAAATAAACAAATCCTAAGTTTTAAATAACATTCATACAGCATATTGTTATAATTGTTCAATATTAACATCAGTTACTGTCCCTCTATTACTATGCCTAATATATAAATCATGCTTTATCGTAGGTACATGTATATAGGAAAAAGGAGAAAGGGTCCAGTACTATCTGCGGTGTCAGGCTTCACTGGGTGTCTTGGGACTCACGCCTGGATCCCCTGGATAAGGGACCCTACTGGATCACTGTGACAGTCTGTGAGGGGCTTAGAATTTACACACTGGGCTTCGCACTTCGCTCTCACTATTATTTTATTTATTTTATCTCTTTGGACCTCAGTTTTCTTATCTTTCATAGGACTTGCTCTTCTGTCTTCTGTAAATCTCATATGTGAAATTTCTAATGTGTCATGGATACCAGAAATAAATGGAGTTGCTTTTAGAAACGAGAGAAGCCAAGTAATGAATTTCTGGCTTCCTTGTAAAGTATCTAAAAACTCCTATAAGCCAAAATTATACTTTTTCCCTTTGAAATTTCGAACACGTAATTTTAAAACTAAAAAATCTCAGAGGAATACATATTCGAGTTTGAGAATCTTTATGTATTTCATTTTTGCCATCTTTTGATTCTAGATTCTGTGATAGAAGGTTAGCATTGTGGCTGCTGGCAAAGTAGATTCTTGTGGCCATCTAGAGGTGCTTTATAATAAGAAACAACCTGTAGATAATTATTTAAAGAATAATTTCTCTTATTTGTCTTTGGTTTTGGAAGAGTTTTTTTTTAAATCATTTAATCATTTTTTAATCATTTGCCTTTGTTTTCAGGCATATTGCTGCCTTCAAAAAATATGGGATGTTTTCAGTGTTTTTGTTTTTTTTTGTTTTTTGTTTTTGTTTTTTTTTTTTTGCCATTTTAGACCATTTACTCAAGACTTATCCGACAATTATGGGCAATGTGAGTTGCTCGGTAATAAAATCTTTTTCTTATTCATGAACATCAGGCGTAACTGTAATATTCATTTGTTATTCAATATTTTAGAGATCAGGAATTTTGATAGATGTGGGAAACACAAATCTTTTTGTTAATTGTAGACACAAAGATAATGCTTTTTCAAGTAACTGTTCCAACTTCTTAAACGGCCTAATTCAGTTTACACTGAATGAACTTTATAGCTAATCGCTTTATTAGTGTTTAAATTTCAGCTTTTCTTGATGACGAATATTGTGTTTCAAGTGGACAGTAACAGTTTGATGATTGGCTTTATTTTTTGATCTCCTGTATTTGACATGTAATGAATAAAACTGGATATCAGAGAATCACTTTCGCTTTTGCTTAGAAAGACAAGAAATTGCATTGAGTTTCTACTGCATGTTGATCATCTTCCTATTTTATGATTTTTAGTGGAATGCTTATAATTCATCAAACAGGTTTTAACTGCTCTTCATACATGATTCTATAAACAAAGTTTGCTCTAATCCTCTAGTTTGTTTTTCATTGTATCCCTTATGAAAATGCTTACCAAATAAGATTTAAAAATTTACTTGGGAACCTGTCACACATGTTTTATGTGAGCTCCTTTCCCTCTATTCTGCTGGAATAGACTCTAAAGCTTGGCCAGCCTTCTTCCTAAACGAGCAGTGGGAACATGGGTGTAGATAGGGAGACAGCAAAGCAGATCCCTCGCATTTCATTTAGCTCAATTCAAATCAATTCAATTCTGGTCATATTTTCTCCTGTTAGAAGTGAATTAGGAGCGGTAGACAGGAATGCGAAGAGTAGCATGTTATCAATATTACTTTTGCATAAGATTAACAATCTCTAGGGTTCCACTGCTTTTCAGCTGTCTTACCTCATTCCATTTTCTCCTTGTACTGCAGCCAAGCTGCCCCGCAAGCATACTGAGCCTATTCTGGTAAAATTAGGGCCTTCTGTTCTAGTTTGCCCCCTCCTCGGAAAGCTCCCGTCTACCTTGCCCTGCACATCTGTAGTTCACCAGTCTGTATCATTATTCTTATTTCCCTTCAAGCTTCCTTCTCAGGACCCCCTGACCTCCAACAGAAAGGACTTCTCTCTTCAGACTGTGCCACTTGCCAGTTATTTCACCTTAGAAATGACATTCATTTGTTGTACTCTCCGTTACAGATGTTCTCTCTCTCTCTCGCCTGTCTAAAAATGAAACAAAAGTATATATGAGGAAAGTTTTTAAGCCAGTAAAGGGAGATAATATTCTTAAGGAGGCTGAAGCTTGGAGTCAGTTCTAGAGGCAGAGGTAGTTTCTATGTGTTGTCCTGCTGAATTATCACAGCAATCTCATTTGATAACTACCTTTATTCTGATGACATAGGTGAAGAAACTAAGACTTAAGATAATGCCTAATTTAGAATTCTCAGACATAGACTTCAGGCCCCATTCTGCTTATCTCCAGATCCCGAGGGCCTAGCTATACGGAACTCTGTCTCTTAAAATTACTACAAACATTTTTCATATCTTAAATAACAATCCATTCTTATCTTTGCCTTTTCTTAAGATCCTGATGAATTCGAGCAAATATATGAGCCACTGGATGTGAAAAGTAAAAAGATTCACGTGGTGGACAGTGGGCTCACCTTTAACCTGCCGTATCCCTTGATCCTGAGACCTCAGAGAGGGGTCGATCTCATCATCTCCTTTGACTTTTCTGCAAGGCCCAGTGACACCAGCCCTCCATTCAAGGTAAGGGAGTTTTTAGTGTTCCACACTTTACTACATTCTCTTGCAAGCCTTTGAGGTGTCTTAGATCTCTTGACCTCAGCTCCTGATTTTATACTATGTCCACAGAATAATATTTCTCAGATGCAGATGTTATTTACTCATCCCCCTGCGCAGGGAAATGTTTTTTTTTTTGGGGGGGGGCGTACCGGGAATTGAACTTGGATCCTTGCGCTTGCAAGGCAGGCCACCAAACCACTGAGCTAAATCCCCGGCCCGACAGGGAAATGTTAAATGAGTTCAATGAGCAGAACGAAGCTCAGGGTCCTGCGGAGGGTAAGAATGGTACCGTGGCTCTGAAGTTCAGGAGGAAAATTAGGCTGTGTCATGGTTTCTCAGTCTATGGAAAGAAATGAAACATCAAAAAGGAGCTAATATTTTTCATCTCGTAATCACCGTCTTTATAGTCATACATTTTTAATCTTTTCCATGTCAGAATCACAGACAGAAAGGGAAAGTTTCTACTTCTTCCTGATTCCATTGTAAATTCATCCGACTAAATTTAGCCTGGCCTTTACCTCACGCAGTTCCCTTTTCCTCTTTCTCCACACAGTCACACATCATTGGTCATAGCCCTGAGTCATATTTGTAAACACTAGAAAGCCTTTTCTTTTCTTTGCCCTCACGCAATTGCTTTACACTGTGAACTTTTGGTTTTATTTTGATGTTGAATAATCATGAATGAATAATTGTGCACATAACCAGACATGAAATAAGCTAATAACCCAACCCAACAGAGGGAAATAAAGGAAGGGTTAATGATACAGATTTTCTCAAAACTTACACATAGATGGGATTCAGAGCAAAATGTAACTGTATTTAGCCTAACAGTTTGTGAAACAAATGCTTTTTAGCCATTAAGTCCTTGCTCCACTGGATTTTTGTTTCTTTATAAATGGTATTGAGAGAGTTGATCACCTTCAAATTCACCAGAGCCCCAAAATATTAAGAACAGTGAGAGTTTCACAGAAAGCATATTTTCTTTGAATTTAAAGTGCTATACAAAAGTCCTCATTTAGATGTTATCTCCTGTGATCCTCACAGTAATCCTATAAGGATGGTAACAGTATTGGCTCTATTTACAGAAAATGTGTTGCTGAGAAATAAGAAACAAATGAGGAGATAGGGTTGGGGCCCTTTTATTTCAGAGATGGGGAACAACTGAGTCCCTGATGCTCAGGACCCCGGTCGTACCTTCAGGGGCGTGTCTTTGTGTGTTGTAACCTCCCCTCCCCAACAGTTTGCTTTGTGCTGGGCTGTGGTGGCCGAGCAATGTGCTCCAAGTCCCCAGCCCTGAGGTAAGGTGTACAGCTGAACCACACCTGTCGGATTGCACAGCCCAGGCACACAGCTGTCCCTCACCTTCCCCGCCATAAAGGTCATTTGTGTCTCCAGTTCACTCATATGCTCCAAAGCTTCAAGCACAGCCTCTCCCTTAGAGAGGCACTCAGTAGGCATTTGTGTAGTGCTGACTATGTGATGAGCTCTGTTCTAAATAGTGTAAAATATGGATATTCATTCATTCATTCATTCATTCATTTATTTATTTTTTGGTACCGGGGATTGAACTCTGGACCTTGTGCTTGGTGGGGCAGGCGGTGGAACCTCTGTGCTAAATCCCCAGCTCTAGTGCATTTAATGTTAATTACAATCCTGTGAGATACATGCCAGTGCTGTCATCATTCGTAGTTTCTATTTGAGGTTATCCAGTACGGAGATGGTGGGAGAGGTCACCGAGCTGTGTGAGAACTCAGGCATCTGGACTGAGAGCCTGTACTTTTACACTGTGATACTCTGCTTCGCGTGCAGCCCATTTGCCCAAAGCTGCATATAAATAGAAATGAGGCCTATTCACTATACATCTCTATACGTTAATTTATGTTCTCCAGTTTAAATTTTATTTGGGGGGGAATTACACACTAAATCAACTTCTATGCAGAGAAAAACCTCAGATCTCAGTGGTTGAGAACAAATTTATATTTCACTGTGGTACCTGTCAGCTGCTGTGGTCCTATGTCTTACAACTTCTCTTTCTGGTGGTATTGTATACTCCTCTTATTAGGAAGGAAGTTAACATGTGGAATCCACCACACCATCTGCCACCTCTGCTAACCAAGCTCACGGTTCTGCCTTTGATCACTACATATGTATTAGCTGGAAGCTCAATTTTTCTTTTGTGTAAACAGAAGCCCAAAAAGCTGATTTAGAGAAAGTAAAATATTTTTAAATGCATAGAATAATGAACTTTTTTTTTTTTTAGACACTGTAGCAGACGTGATAGAGATAAAAGAAAATCCAGTAGCAGAGAGAGTTACTAATTCTGCATCATCAGATATTTTTAAAATTCTGAATGGTCAAAAATATTTTAAAAGGCTATAAATACTCTGAATCCATACATATGTGATATATATGTGTGTGTGTGTGTGTGTGTGTGTGTGTGTGTGTGTGTGTGTATTTTTCCACTAGCAGTATCTCTATCATAATTTCATTCCATTCAGGTCATCAGTAATTTTTAAAATTCAACTAGCCTTGGCTGAGAATTAACATGACATTACTGAGTTTGCTTGTAGAATAATTGTATAGACCTTTTAGATTGATGAGCTCCTTGAGAACATGGTTGTTATTTATCCTAGCAAAGAGCACACTGCTGGAAGGTAATAGATACCTAAGGAATACTGAATAATTGTCAGATCCACTGAATAAGAACAGTTCCCAAATGCATCTTCCTCTCTTTTCCACAGGAACTTCTCCTTGCAGAAAAGTGGGCTAAAATGAACAAGCTCCCATTTCCAAAGATTGATCCTTATGTGTTTGATCGGGAAGGATTGAAGGAGTGCTACGTCTTTAAACCCAAGAATCCTGATGTGGACAAAGATTGCCCAACCATCATTCACTTTGTTCTGGCCAACATCAACTTTAGAAAGTACAAGGCTCCAGGTATGCTTGGAATAAATTTTATTCCATAAAACAGAAATCTGTCAGGGGAGCAAGGCTGATACCAAGCTGTTTCACAGTAGCACCACTTTACCAGGTATTGGCACATTGAGTACATCCCCATGTTGATAAATAGCTACTGATAAATAGGTACTTCTTTTACTTACCCTGAGATCACCCAAGATCCTCCAGATGCAGAAACTGAAGAGTAAATCGGCTTTCTCAGCAGAACTCTTTATGCCTTTACTCCAAGACCTTGGGATATGTTTTTCTGATTGATTGGTGACCTTGTCATAGGGAATGTTGTATATTTTAAATATCATCCTTCTTGTAAAGTTCATTTTAGAACAAATAATGCGAAAAAGCTCTGGGAATTTTTAACTGATCACAAAATAATGTAACCTAGCAGTATGGCATGGCTAAGTAGTCCCAGGTTGCCATGTTGTATTCCACAGAAAATGAGAATCAAGTTCAAGGCATAGTTGCTCAGTTTTATCACAGGTAGAAGAGTCTGGACTTTTCATGTGCTGGGAGCAAGGATTTGCAAAGGGAGATCTATAGGTTGACAGGAAAGATTCTTAAGATTCTAAAACCTGTATTATTTAAGGACCAGGAAATGTAGTTTCCAGTTGGTGAATGTAAAGGCACACACACACACACACACACACACACACACACACACACACACACACTAACACACGAAGATTGGTTAGAACAATGTGGAGAAGATTGTCTTTCCTAGATTCCTCAGGCAAATAAAGGATCAACAGAGGCGGAGGCAATTGTGATTGACCTCTGCCCAGAAGAAATGACTATTTTTAGATTTCAAACAGTGGCACACTTGAAACTAGAGAAATCTCTAGCTAGTTCTCAAGGAGAAATCACTGAATAGTTGGCCTGTATGGAGATTACTATGCCTTTGAAGTCAATTAGATAATATTTTGTTTAGGGCTTCCCCAGAGAAAGATTCTGTGAAAAGGACTCAAATGCAAATAGCTTATTAATATGGAAGTGGGGAAGAGATACAGAGAAAGCAGATGGAGAGCATAGCCTGAGTTAGTAAGTCAACTACCACAACTGGAGCCTGACCGGAAGTGAAGAAACCCAATGCTTCAGAATCAGCCTTCCTAGCCCACACCAGGAGGCAAAGCAGCTGGGGTGTTTACATACCAGCTCTCTGGAGACTTTGGTGGAGTACTGCCTGGAGTGGAGGGTTACTTATGAGAGTTTCCAGTGTGAGGGTGCTGGACACAACAGCTCTACGTCTGCAAGGGGAGGAAGAAGATTACCAGGCCAGAGATACAGACACTGGCAGCCAGAAGGCATCCAGTCAGAACACACAGAGATGGTGCACTCTGGAAACATTACAGATTCCCAGGGGGCCTCCGGGGAGCTCCTAAATCTGTCTTCATGCCTACTAATATGTTTCATTCCCTGGGTTTTAGAGACACTTTGCAGTTTTCAAAGTAATACTACCAGTAACTCTTTTGGAATATAGGTGTCCCAAGAGAAACAAAAGAGGAGAAAGAAATAGCTGACTTTGACATTTTTGATGATCCCGAATCACCCTTTTCAACCTTCAACTTTCAATATCCAAATCAAGCATTCAAAAGGCTACATGATCTAATGCACTTCAATACCCTGAACAACATTGACGTAAGTATCTCCTATGACTATCAGTAATGATGTCACATATTTTCATACCACATAAATGCAGCAGTATCCCTTTCATGTAATCAAAAAGATAAGCCTCATGATTGACAATACTGAAAGTGTGCTAATTTACTTCTCATTATTATTTTATTCACCTTGAGAATAGCCCTACACAATTTACAAATACTGAAACAAATGCCTCCGAATTGGCAGAACCCACAGTTCATACTGTTTTTCATGGAATGGTGGATAATTCTATATTTCCTCCACCAACTATCTAGTATATTCATCATAAGATTAAATAAGTATTAAGGCAGAGGAAGAAAAATGATGAAAAGGAAATACAAAAGTAGAAAAGTCCATGTAACCAGAATTATAGTTAACCTACAAAAATATCAGGACGTGGATTTTAATGAATACATTCATGCTTTTAAATGTTCTATTTTGTGGATCTTGGTAATGTTGCCAAGCATAACAACCTCCCCCATTTTTAGCCTTTGAGATATCAAGTGTCCTTTGATTTAGAAATTTTAGAACAAGTCATTCTCTTCAATATTAATCATTCCTATCCCTGGTACATCTACTGCTAAGATTCTGTGCTTGTGAAATTCTTTAGTGTCAAACTCACAATTTAGGAACTCAGTTGTGTAATAGAAATCATTGGTTTGTGTTCCAAAATCAGTGTCCAACAAATTATTATCAGTTATGAAAGTTCAAGTTTATTTGCCTTAGTGGATTTTTCACATTACAAACAAAAAAAAAAAAAAGAAGAAGAAGAAAGAAATTTAGTGGGAAAAGACATGTTTGATTTGTTGGTCTTTTTGAAGACCATATGAATGGCACAAGAATTCATAATGTGGGGATCTTTCGTATTATATAAGATCTAACAAGGTTTTGTGAGCTAACAGAACTCTGAGACATCGAGTTTGCTTGCTTAGTTTGTTCTGGTACTATTAAAGATTACGTGTGTGTAATTATGATGGTAATATTTATTAAGCTCTTTATTTTTTTTTGGTACCGGGGATCAAATTTATTTTTTCAAATGTATGAAACCTTCATCAATAAGCTTCAGTTCCTAAAATTATAAAATTATTTCTGTTTACATTTGCAAATATATCATGATCAAAACAAAAATGTTCATTTCCTGAATATATTTATTCCTTTAAAAAAAAAGAATAAGCAGTGTATATCTGAAAGCCCCATGCTACAGTATTTCAGCGTAATGGTTAAAATTTTAAAGACATGAAGAGAGAAATTAGCATTTTAATATATGAAATAAAGAGGAAGTCAAAATTCTGAAAAGCGAGTTATATTTTATAAGGCATCATACTACTAAGAAAGAAGAGAGCTCAGAGTGATATTACAGCAATCTTATTTTTTTCAGTATGAAGCTAATAACCTAAAAAATTATATTGCCTGGGATAAAATGTATTAAACTTGATAAATCATCTTCAAGTGATAAAAGCTAGATAGTAAGAAAGTATAAATACTTATTGGTCATGGAAATGCGTACACAGATACACATATGAAACAATTACATTTTTCTTGTTATTTGCCACCTGGCTTATATAAAACCCGCAACACTATTTTCTATTGGGAATGTTATAGTTACATATTTTAGAAGTGCTCTTTAAGATAGTTTGTTTGACACAGATGAAAAAGTCAAAGCCTGACAAAAATATATTGAATTCCAAAATAACTCTCTTACAGCTCATGGAATGTTGATTCTTTACAAACCATTAACTAAACATTTTAAAATTGCTTCTACTAACATCTGTGGTACAGCATAAAGAAGTAATATTGCAGTTGTATTATTTTAAAATCCCACGTAGGCTACTTATATGACACTAAATAAGCTACTGAAACTTTTGGGGCTTTTGTTTCTTCATTTCTAAAATAGGTGTAATAGTAGGACCTATCCTAATGGCAGTAGTGAATATTTAATTAGGTGATTTACAAAGTCCTACAAATACAAGCTGTTCACTATATGAGAATCTTATCTATGTGTATCCATATCCGGTATCGCTGAAGGTCCATAGCAAATATACTCCCCAAGACTTTTGCGGGTGTTTAACTTACAATGTAAACAAGTCTGTACAGGCAATAGCAGCTTAGAGAGTGTGTAAATGTTTTTCAAATGAATGAATATAAGCATTTTTCTATATTGTACGACTGTTGTGATTCATGTTTAAGTCTCTCCCTCTCTCTCTCTCTCTCTCTCTCTCTCTCTCTCTCTCTCTCTGTCTCTCTCTCATCTTATCCAGGTAAATGTTGCAATTTTAACTGATATTTTCTCTCTCCTTTGCTGATGTCCCTCCTTTAACCAAGAAAATACATTTCTATCATTATCAGTGCCTCTTGTAAGTGAATGATACATTAAAGACAACAAAACTGTGCTGAAGTTGAGATGTTAGACAGTCCATTAGGTGATCATTAGCCACATCTTTCATTCCCGTGCCATCAGAAAAGAGCAGGGAACTGATTCAGACTTCAGCATGTGGACTGTCCCAGTTGTTTGCAGTAGCAGGCCCCGTGAATATAACTTGCTGGAATGTGAAGTCACACGTGCCAATCCCTCGTAAGGTAGTTTTCAACTTTATGGCCATGACCAGTGTGGCATAAGGCAACGTTCGTTCTTCAGTTCGTAGTCTGATCTGAGCTTTACTCTGAACAGGCCACCTTGTCTCTCATAGTCTCACGCTTCAATTTCCCAGGACATCCTAGCTGGGCTGCTTTGCAGATGCTAAAGACCTTTGGAGGACTTCGGCACTGTTCTGCTCACATCTTTACAGTAGCCAGCGCTTCTCAGTAGCATCATCTTTCTGCAACTACCCACCCTTCCAGATTCCTTCTCACTAAACATTGCCTCCATGTTTTCACAATTGTAGTCTTTCTTTCTTTTTCTTTCTTTCCTTTTCTTTCTTTTTTTGTTTCCTTATAAGAAACTTAACATGTAGTGACTTACACTTGTGGACGTGTATGTGGTGCGGGGGAGTATTAGTCACATTCTTGTCCGTCGGACAGAATACCTGACACCCAGGACATAACAGAGGAGAGGTTTATTTTAACTCACGGTTGTAGTGCGTGGTTGGTGGCTCTAAGGCAGAAGGAGTATGGCAGAGGGGCAAGGTGAAGGAAAAATTGCTGGAGCTCAGCTCAGAGCAGCCAGGAAACAGAGACACAAGGGAGGAACAGGGGAGGGAGGTTAACACTTCCAGGTTACACCCACAGTGATCTACTTCCTCCTACAAGACCTCCTATCAGCACATTCAGCTATGATTCATCCCCGGTGCACCCCTGTGACCCAGTCACCTTCTAGAACCCCACCCCTGAACATGAGACACTTGGGGGGACTTTCTGGATCAAAACCATTAACAGTGGGAGATGCACAGGCTTTGGAGTCGGATCAAATGGGCCATTCAGATTCCGATTCCTATTCTGCTGCTGCTGGATGATTTGGGGCATATCAGTTAACCTCTTGGAGTTTTATTTTCCTCATTTGTAAGGAGAAAAAATAATAATAAAAATAATACCTGTCTTATAGAATGAGGACAGAGTCTATGTAAAATAACATAAGGGCTAAGCATGTCATAGACACTCAGGAAATTGAAGCAGCTAATATAATAACGATGACAATGATGATTAGTGTTATTCAATGATGATTAGATGATATTCATCTGCTTTTAATTACAAATTATCAACACTGTAACAGCAGCAACTTATTTACTCTGTATCTTCCAGAGATACTGATCACAATGTCTGGTGCCTACAATGAATACATGATAAGTTTTTCACAAAGTGTTAGGGCACAAGGTGCTAGTGGCTGGAGGCAGAGTTCCTGACTGGCAAACAGTGTGCCTGACCATGCAGCTTGGCTATGCCCTCAGCCATAAACTACCACTGAGACCTAAACAAAGTCCACCTCTTGAGCTCATTTTTAGGACCTGTTGATTCATTTATTGAAAGAGAAATATATTGTTTTTATTGTTCTGGTTTTGTTTCTTTGTTTGGTTTGTTTTTGATTTTTGGTACCGGGGATAGAACTCAGGACCTTGCATTTTGCAAGGCAGGTGGCGGCACCACTGAACTAAATCCCCCGCCCTAAGAAAATACATTGTTTTCCAGGTTGGCATTCAACTGACTAACCGGATGTATATTCTAAGAATGTATTATGTGTCAGTTTATTTGGTGTATGCCAATTTTGTATAATGAACTTTAATAATTTTCTCAAAGAATTCTATAAAATGTTAAATACTGTATGTTAAGTGAAAGAGAACACATGATACTTAATTCCTTTTTGATTTTTGAGGTACTGGGGATTTAATTCAAGGCTTGCTTGTGCACTGAGGTATATCCCTAGCACTTCAAAAAAAAAAAAACAACAAAAAAGATCTTCCTAAGTCTTAATTCTTAATGCAGTGATATTTCATCTTCTTGGTAAGAACATTTAGGTACAAGTTAGGTTTTTGTCTTTCTAGAAATAATTTGAAAGTTTGTTATAATGTGTCATGACCTAGCATAGTAGCCAGTGGGAGAGGGAAGGCGGGGACTCCTTGCCCATTGTGAAGAATCATGACCACCACCTCTAAAACAAAAAACATAAACAAGAGACAAGTACAGTAAATTTATTTGATTGTGGCTCTGCATGACACTGCAGCCTTCCGAATGAAAATTTAAACATCCAGGGTGAGCTTTCTATTTGTATACTGTTTCGGAGGGCAGGGTAGGCAGGGGAATACTGGGGATTGAACTCGGGACTTTCACACTGAGTATATTCCCAGCATTTTTCAATTTTATTTTTTTAAATTTTGAAACGTAAGTGTGATGAATCACAGACAGTGTGTAGAGTATGACCTAATAATGACTGACCGAGTGGAGAAACCCAGGCAGCCCTGTCCTGTTCAGCTGCTTCTTGCTGTCTCTGTTCATCTTTATTACTCTTTGGTATAGCACAAGAATCCTCTGAAGTGTGTGCGTGCATGTGTGTTTACGTTTAAATTTGTAGGTGTGGAATTTGAACCATGAATTGTTTAGGCAGATTGCTACAAGTCAGAGTTATGTGGGAAGCTGAGATCACATGCCTTTTCCCACTCTTTAACTTGCTTCCGGACCATCTGTTTCCTCAGTAGCATTCTTTTCTTTTTGTTGTTGTTGGAGAGAGGGTCTCCCTTTGTAGTTCAGGCTGACCTGAACTCACTGTGTGGGCTTGCACTGGCCTCAAACTTGTGGTGATCCTCCTGCCTCAACTTCGTGAGTGCTGGGATTATAGGCATGAGCCAGCATGTGACTGACTTCTTAGGGTTCCTTAGACAGAACCTCCTTTCCAGTCAGGCTGACCAATTCCCAAGTGTGACTTCTGCCTACCGACCGCCCATCTTCAGCCTTGTTTTACGGTTACTCACTGAGAAGCCCAGTCTTCCCTCTCCTTTGATAAAACGTTGCTCAGCCTTCAACTCCAGCCACATTTCCCTCATGGACTGAAATTTATTCTGTGTGATTCAGCAAGCATCTTCTGTACAGTTATTTAATTTCCAAGCATTTATCATGTAAGAAATGATAAATCTAATATTCCTACTTTGGTGACATTTCAGTTTGTATTGGGAAAGCAGGCATTAACAAGCAAATTCACAGTAGTTTAGACCAAAATATTTACTTGTAATCTTCTATGTTAATTGTTTTTACTTCTCTCTCTGTGTGTCTCTCTGGGAGGGGCTGTTGAGATAGGGTCTCACTATGTAGTTGAGACTGACCTGGAACTCACTATGTAGCCCAGGCTGGTCTCAAACTCACAGCGATCCTCCTGCCTCTGCCTCCCGAATGCTGGGATTATAGGCATGAGCCACCACGCCAGGCTCTACTTCTCTTTTGAAAGACAATATAACTTCCTTTTTTGCACTCATTTAAAAATTTTTTCATGGGGGTGAGAACTCCATATTTATGGATTACATACAATTTTATGTCTCTAAACTTGTTCTTTTTGGAAAGAAAATCACATTTTACACTTTTTTTTTCTTATTCTCTACCCTTATTGCCAAAGACTTAAGGGACTGGGTTGAACATTTAGAAAGCAATTGAGTAGCACAAGTAAAAGATTGTACAAGTCTGACTCTTGGGAAGGGCGGGATGGGAAGGAAGGTTTGAGAAAGGAGAACTCATCCTGGGATAACTCTGTCAGGAAGGATTTGAATCTCAGGGAAGAATAAAAGAGAAGTTAGATACAAACAATGTAAGACTATTCTTCATTAAGTTAAAAGAACTGTAGACTCAACTTTTTGACATATTGCTTTTTTTATTTATCTAGTTATACCAGGCAGCATGCCAAAAATGTTTAAATTTATCAACTTAGTTTAATTTCTGAAAATATCACGGAATTATAACTCTAAGGAATTGGGTATGTTCTCTATCTAAAATCTGAAAACCCTGTTTAATAGTTTCATAGTGCCAGTGTGCCACCTAGTGGCTCAGTTTGCACATTCTAATAGCGCAAGGTGGATTTTTCAATAATTGCCTAACTTTGCTTCCTTTGTAAGAATGGCCGGTTTACCAGAAATACCAACTCCGGTCCAGTTCATCAGTGTGTGATGTTGATACTGCTGGGTTTTTTGAGTGCTCTTGAACTCATTCTAAAGGAATTGACTGCAATCATTATCAGTATAATTTCCTCTGTGGTCTTTTCTACTTTAAAACTTATCAGGTGAAAAATAGACTTGTTTTTTATTGAGTACTGCTCTGCAATTGAAGGTTGACGTTTCTCTGGCTGCTGAGAAGCATCAGTTTTCATCAATGAAATCACAATGTATAGTGTTTCCTAGATAAAGGATACTCATGTTCCGTTGTATATTTCTTTAGTCAAAAATCAGGGTCATTCTTCAGGACTACATTCTCCGCTGACAGGGTTAAGTCTTACTTCCTTGTGGTCTCTTATTCTCACTTGCCCAATTGCTACAAAAAACTGATACTGTAGATTCAGAGTTGACTTGTGTCTCTGCTATCATCACCTTTCTTGTGAAGAACCAAAGACACATACGTTTGCCATGTTATAAACATTTTATTCCCAACATCATCAGCAGAAACTTCAGAGTTCTCCTACAGGACAAGAAGCTGGATGTGGGTGTAACAATAGAGTAGGAGGAATGTTAAATTTAAATATATATGTGTGACTCAGGTTTCCTTCCGTATATTTTATACAGATTATTCTAACTAAAAAGGCCAATTAGATTTTGTTTTGAGCCAATACATGCCCTGAGGAATTCATAGAAGCACGAATTATTTATCTTCTTTCTCCATTTTCAGGTGATCAAAGATGCCATAGTTGAAAGCATTGAATACAGAAGACAGAATCCATCTCGTTGCTCTGTTTCCCTCAGTAATATTGAGGCAAGAAGATTTTTCAACAAGGAATTTCTGAGTAAACCCACAGCATAGTGTGTGCACCGGAAAGAGTAGCAATGTCTGATACTGAGGCAATTTGGAATTCCATGGCGACTGGACGTACACATTCAGACGGTTACACTCTCCATAAGAGACTGGCTAAAACTCAGAGCTGGAGTTGTTAGGGAAATGAGAATAATACTGTACAGACTTGTTAGGTGGATAAATGACATGGATTATGTAAAAATACACTTGTCAACAGTCTCTATCAGTACAAATTTCTTCATGCAAATGTAGGAATATATACTGTATTTTTAAACATTCCTTATTGACTTTCTTATGTGTGTTCTTTTTAAAAGAAGATGTGGTTTTTCTTTTTTAAATATTTAATAGTTCAATCTCAGTAAGTAAGGTTTCCTGTTGTGTGGAATGTTATTCACTGACTAGACTTATTCATGCCATGCAATAACACTATTTTTTATTTATATATCATGTATATGAAATAAATGCATCGATATGCAAATTAACATGAGATAACTGAATTTTCCGTTCTTCTTACTAGTGAGAGTATACTGTTCCTATGAAAGATTCACTGTGTTTAAACCCCAAAAGTGTCAGTCCTAAATGTAAATGTGAAACTTTAAAACTTAAATCCTGTTTTTCTTGAAAATGAAAGTATATATTTTTCAGCAGGCGGTATATGTTTACTCAGTAAGCAGAAAAAAAAAATATATATAATCACCTCTGATATAACATCTCTCTTTGCTGATATTATCCTAGGCTATTTATTCCCAAGCTAGAGCAGTTCACTCAAAACAGTTTAGAAGAGGGCAAGAGCTATAGTGAAGTGGGTCGCATTTTTGGCATCTGTAAGATTTGTCTTAGGATTCGTCTGTATTGTAGACCGTTGCTTCCGTCACAGTTGAACTGCTGAGGCTCAGAATTGATGCTCCAAACCTAAGGTCTTCTTCCTTCTTAGCTCATGCCATTCCTCTTTCTGTGAATTACCTCTCGTGTTGGTCAGCTTTCTAGTTGCTGAGACATTATACCTGACACAACGTAAAGAAGAGGAGCATTAATCCAGCTCATAGCTTTGAGGGATTCAGCCTGTGGCCGACTGGCTCCAAGGAAGGTCATGGTGACCGAAGGGCACGGCACAGAAAAGTTGCTTCCTCACGGCAACCGGGAAATATAGAGAAAAGCAAGGAGTCAGGGACAAGAAGGTACCCACAGAGGTCGTGCTGCCAGTGACCCACCTCCAACCAGGTCCCACTTTCTAAGAACACATTCAGCTGTGAACTCATCAACTGATGACTGTAGTGTCTCCATGATCCTATTTCCAAATGCCCTACTTCCGAACACATGAGATACAGGGGATATTTTAGACCTAAATGATATACCCTTCTTTACATTCTCTATTCTCTTCTTTCTCTTGCCTTTCACACTTCTGCTTCTGAAGAAAGACTAAAAACAGTGATAAAGAAGAAGAGAAGCCTTGACAGTTCATTCTATTTTTCACTGATGTGTGCAGAAAGCCCATGAGTGTCATCATGTGCCCTCAGGCACATTTCAGGATCTGAAGGCACACAGTGGACAGAACAGACAAAAGTGTCTAGGGCTGGGGATTTAGCTCAGTGGCCCCGCATCTGCCTTGCAAGGACAAGGTGCTGAGTTCAATTCCTGTAAAAAAAAAAAAGTGTCTCCCTAGGGGACCTTACACTTTACTGAAGTTGACTTAACGATAAACAGGACAAATACGTATCTGATTCTTAGTGATAGATGCTTTAAAAAAATAAAAGGAAGAAAAGGTGGGAAGAGCTTGAGATGTGGAATTTTAAATGGGGTCAGAGGAAAGTTCATAATGTGCAGATGGCATCACAGTAAAGATGTGAAGAGCTGAGGTGGTGAGGCCTGTGGATACCCAAGGGAAGAGCATTCCTGGCGGAGAGAAGAGCACATGCAAACGTCTCAATACAGAGCACCAGGCATGTTCTGAGAAGGGCCCGTGTGCCCAGAGCAGAAGGGGAGGTGTCAAAACTTTTCATTTGTTCAAAACTTGGCAATATCATTTTTATTCCTGTGCCCTTGACCTTGTGACCTTAACATGATCTATGGTGCTCCATAGAAATGAACTAGACAAACAATTGAAAGAGCATGGGTAAAACATGCAAGCCTGTTTTCCCTTTGTTCACACACTTTTAGTTTCTTAACTGAAATAATGGGAGCTCCGTGTCTAATGCAGCTTTGTCAGTTTGTCCAGTTAGGAGTTCATTAGAGCTACCTATCCTATGGCAGATTAAATCAAAGGCTTGGGTCCCTGGGATAAATCCGACTCAGTCAGGATGTGTGATCTTCTTGATGACCTCTGTATTCTGTTTGTCAGTGTTGTATTGAGGAATCTTGCATTTGTGTTCATTAGGGAGATTGGCCTGTAGTTGTCTTTTTTTGTTTGGGTCTTTCCCTGGTTTTGGAATCAAAGTAAGACTTGCTTCCAGGAATGAATTTGGAAGTATCACTTCCCTTTCAATTTCATTGAAAAGTTTAAAGAGTAGTGGTAGTAGTTCTTCTCTAATATATCTCACAGAACTAGAGAAAATAATCCAACAATTCATTTGAAACCAGAAGAGACCCAGAATAGCAAAAGCCATTATAGGCAACAGAGACATGACAGGGGATATCACGATCCCCAACTTGAAGCTGTACTACAAAGGAACTGTGATAAAACAGTGATATCATTGGTTATTCGAGAGATGCAAATGAAAACAACACTAAGAATCCACCTCCCCCCGGAAAGAATGGCTGCTATCAAGAAATCAACCAATAACAAACGTTGGTGGGGATGTGGGGAGAAAGGAACCCTTCTCCATTGTTGATGGGAGTGCAGACTGGTGCAACCACTGTGGAAATCAATATGGGGAGACCTCCAAGAACTAGGATTAGTGGTTCCTTTTGACCCAGCTATTTCCCTGCTGGGTATCTTTCCAAAAGAATTAAAAGAATCATACCACAATGATATATTCACACCCATGTTTATAGCAGCACAGTTTGTAATAGCTAAAACTTGGAAATAGCCCAAATGCCCATCAGTTGGAGACTGGATAAAGAAGATGTGGTTTTCCTATAAAATGGAGTACTACTCGGCCATAAAGAATGAGAAACTATATATTCTAGATAATAGTCCTTTGTCTGAGGAGCAGCTGGTAAAATATTTTTCCCACATTGTAGGTTGTCTCTTAGTTCTGCTGATGGTTTCTTTTGCAGTACAGAAGCTTTTTAATAAGATGAGATCCCAGTTGATTCTATCTGCTAGTTCTCGTGCTACGGAGGTTTTGTTCATAAAGTCTTTTCCTATGCCAATGTCTTCCAGAGTTCTGCCTAATTTACCTTCCAGCAAGTTTAATGTTTCCGTTTTAATATTTAGATCTTTAATCCACTTGGATTTTAATTTAGTGCATGGTGAAAGATAAGGGTCCAGTTTTAATCTGTGGCAGGTTGAAATCCAATTTTTCCAACACCATTTATCAAAGAGGCTATCTTTCCTCCACTGAGGATGGTCAGCTCCTTTGTCAAAGATGAGGTAGCTGAGTACATCTGGAGTTGTTTTTGTGTCTTCCAGTCTGTTCCACTGATCCTCAGGCCTGTTTCTTTGCCAGTACCATGCTGTTTTTACCACAGTGGCTTTGCAGTATAGTTTCAAATTGGGAATTGTTATACCCACCGTCATGTGTCTGCTGCCTAGGATGGCTTTTGCTCTTCTAGGTCTCTTATGGTTCCAAATGAATTTTTGGATTCTTTTTTCTAGTTCTATGAAATATAGTGTTGGAATTTCAATTGGCATTATATTGACTCTGTATAGCAGTTTTGGTAGTATAGCCATTTGCACTATGTTGATTCTTCCTACCCAGGAGCAGGGGATATCTTTCCATTTTTTTTATATCCTCTTCAATTTCTTTTTTCAGAGTGCTATAGTTTTCAGTGTAGAGATCTTTTGCTTGGTGGGATTGCAGACTGGTGCAACCACTATGGAAATCAATATGGAGATACCTCAAAGAACTTGGACAGGAGGTTCCATTTGACCCAGCCATCCTTCTGCTGGGTATCTTTCCAAAAGAACTAAAAGAATCATATCATGGTGATGTATGTGCACCCATGTTTATAGTGGCACAATTTGTAATAGCTAAAACTTGGAAACAGCCCATTTGTCCATCAGTTGGAAACTGGATCAAGAAGATGTGGCTTTCTATAAAATGGAATATTAGCCATAAAGAATGAGAAAATACATTCATTCATAGGAAAATGGATACATATTGAGGATATATTCCTAAGTGAAATAAATAAGTCACACATGTGTAAATACCGAATAGTTTCTCTGGTGTGAATAATCTGCAATAATACATAAGATCCTAATAAGATTACTGACATGGTGAAATGGGAAGAAAGGGGCTAAAGGTGTAGGGAAGGTGGGATGGGTAGAGGAAGGGTAATAAGGGAAAAGAAAAAAATGTGAGATAATGAAAAAATGGTAATAAAGTGTTTGTAGATGGGGAGGGGAGGAGGGGGTGAAGGGTGGGCAGGGGTAAGGGGAAAAAATGAGAACCAGGATCTGTCATGTAGAGGTACAAGATCCCAACAATGAATGTAACTGTACTGTATCCCTAAAATGTACCAATAAACTCAATTAAAGCTGAAAAAAAAAGAATGAGAAACTAGAGTCATTCATAGGAAAACAGATGCATATTGAGGCCATACACTTAAGTGAAATAAAGAAGACCAATAAGTGTAAGTACCAAATAGTTTCTCTGGTGTGAAAAGCTAAAAGTGTAAATAAGATCCAAATTGTATAACTGATAATGTGAAATAGGAAGAAAGGGGCTAAAGGTGTAGGGGAAGTGGGAAGGGTCGGGGAAAGCAAATAAGGGAAAAGAAAAAATATGAGAAAGGAAAAAAATGGAAACAAAGTCTTTGTAAATATGGGAGGATAGAGGAGGTGAAGGGAGGGCAGGGGTATGGGGAAAAATTGAGAACCAAGACCTGTCATGTAAGGGTACAAGATCCCAATGATGAATATAACTGTACTTTATACTTAAAAAGTACCAGTAAATTCAGTATGATGAAAAAAAATTTAAGGTTCTTCTACATACTAGTTGTTTCTATGGAAATCATTTAACAGAGATGGTAGAACTTTTATAGTTTTTTAAAAAATAGTCCCAGTTAAAAATGAGCAGCATATCATGTATGTTGACAGTCTCACTTCCAGAATTCCTGGTAGACATGGCCTCTTCACTAATGAACCTGAATACAATCTCCAATTTCTGCTCATTTCACTGGAATTGGAAAAGGAAT